CAAGCTGCTTGCAATGACAAGTCCGGCTCGATAACCATAACCGGCTTGGGCAGTTGATGGCTTGGCTCCATTTTTTTTGGGGGGGGGGCAGCCAACATCAAGGAGGGTGTTTGGCATCGGTGCAGTATAGCAAGGTGACACTTGGAGAGGGTTCGAGGACAGGAATTCAGGTATGAACTGTAAACAGGGTGGCGCAGTTCTGCTCCAACAATTCAGAACAAGGACAGCGAGGTTTTCCAAAGCATTGGGACTCCAAGCTCCCCCCACCCCCACCCTCCTTGCCATTTCTGAGCCTTTGAGGAAACTGGCAGGCCCGGTGCGAGGTTACGAAGGGGAGGAAATAAAAAAAGGAAGTTTGCACTCTTTTTCTCTATACGTGTCCACAGTTTAGGAAATCCAAAGAGGGTCAAAGGACCGGGGTGACAGGATAGCCGTCTTCCAATTCATGAGGGGCTGCCACAAAGAAGAAGGGGTCAACCTGTCGTGGGTGCTGCATCACTGGAAATCTTCAAGAGGAATCTGGACAATTATCTGTCTGAGACGGTATAGGTTCTCCTGCTTGAGCAGGGGGCTGGACTAGAAGACCTTCAAGGTCCCTTCCAGCTCTATTCTATTCTATTCTATTCTATTCTATTCTATTCTATTCTATTCTATTCTATTCTATTCTATTCTATATTCTATTGTATTCTTTCCATTGCATTCCATATTTTCTAATTCTGTTCTATTCTATTCTATTTTCTGTTCTATTCTATTCTATTCTATTCTATTCTATTCTATTCTATTCTATTCTATTCTATTCTTCTATTTTACATTCTGTTCTGTTCTATTCTATTCTATATTTCTATTCTGTTCTATATTTCTATTCTATTCTATTCTATTCTATTCTATTCTATTCTATTCTATTCTATTCTATTATTCTACTTTACATTCTATTCTATTCTATTCTATTCTATTCTATTCTATTCTATTCTATTCCATATTCTATATTCTATATTCTATATTCTATATTCTATTGTATTCTTTCCATTGCATTCCATATTTTCTAATTCTGTTCTATTTTATTCTATTTTCTATTGTATTCTATTCTACTGTATTCCTATTCTATTCTATTCTATTCTATTATTCTATTTTACATTCTATTCTGTTCTATTCTATATTTCTATTCTGTTCTATATTTATATTCTATTCTATTATTCTATTTTACATTCTATTCTATTCTATATTCTATATTCTATTGTATTCTTTCCATTGCAATCCATATTTTCTAATTCTGTTCTATTTTATTCTATTTTCTATTGTATTCTATTCTACTGTATTCCTATTCTATTCTATTCTATTCTATTCTATTATTCTATTTTACATTCTATTCTGTTCTATTCTATTCTATATTTCTATTCTGTTTTATATTTCTATTCTATTCTATTCTATTCTATTCTATTCTATTCTATTCTATTCTATTCTTCTATTGTATTCTATTCGTATTCCTATTCCTATTCCTATTCTTATTCTATTTTCCAAAGCACCAGAAAGCAGGACACGAAGCAACGGATGGAAACTCATCAAAGAGAGAAGCAACCTGGAACTAAGGCGGAATTAAGAACATTGAGAATAACCATTCAGTGGAATGCCTTGCTTGCAAAAGTTGTGGGAGCTCCATCACTGGAGGTTTTCAAGAAGACATTGGACAGCCATTTGTCCAGAATGGAATAAGGTCTCCTGCTCGAGCAGGAGGCTGGACTAGAAGACCTCCCAGGTCCCTTTCAATCCTGTGACTCTACGTTCTATGCTTAGAAATGAAAAACTCAGAACTTTTGAACTGTCCGAGGTCATTGTGAAAAGGACAATTGGTGCTTTCTGAAGCACCTGGATTAGCCCAGCTATCCTGTTTGTTTCGTTTCTACTCCTTCCTCCAGACAGGCCCCCCCCTCTTCTCATCCCCTACTACCCTCTTACAAATGTCTACTACGTGAATGGCCGGAAGTGACTTCATGAAGTCTGAAGCCTGGCTCCCGTCCTGGGCTTCTATCTCTGCTCCAACAGGACCTCCCTCTCTCTCATCAACTGTAGCTTCCTTCCTGAGATTAATTCGTTCGAAGTGATTGGCTTTGACTGAGTTTTTAATTAGAAAACTAAGCCGTACGCCGAGGGTCCCTTGCTTTTAAACCAGCGGTTCTCAACCTATGGGTCGGGACCCCATTTGGGGTCGAACGACCATTTCATGGGGGTCGACAAACAACACAGTCTGCCATTTTTCCCCCTTTTCCTTAGCTGTGCTCCTCCCTTTTATTCTATTGGCTTTTGAAAGCCAATAGAATAGACTCTCTTGAATAGAGTCTAATTCTATTGGCTTTCAAAAGCCAATAGGAATTGTCCAGGCTGTCTCTGCCCTGCTGAGCCCGCCAAAAGGCCCATTCTGCAAACGGTGCTGCACCAGTTGAGTAGTCCTCGACTTACGGCCGGTTGAGTAGTCCTCCACTTACAAACGGTTGGGGGTCGTGGCATTAAAAAGGTTGAGAACCACTGTTTTAAATGCTAAATGCATTTAATGCGAATCTGAAAGAGAACAGTTTCCCTGTATCGGATCAAGTCTTTTGCCATCCAGGATATGCCTTTGGGACTATCGCCGTCATGAGGGCGTGCACCCCGTGTTTAAACAGAGGGAATTTTGATTGAAGTGTAAATCTAGAGGCCCGGCCCAGCCAACACACACACACACACAAAAGCGCAAACAAAGGCACGCCTTCGTGGGACAAACATATCCTAAAATATAGTAATGGCCCCACCAAGCACCGGGTGTAACCTTCCACATAACTGTTTGCTCACCTCAATCATCCCTTCCCACGTGGTCTAATTCCTCTGCCTTCTTTTTCCGAAGAATTTGGCAAAGCAAGAGGTGAGGATCAAAGCAGCGTCCAGCCTCCCAATTTAATATCCCTGCTAATTAGGGTCAGCGGCCAAATTGTGCTGAGTTGGGCATAGCGAAGGCAGGACTCATTGCCACCTGAGAAGGGCTTTGTGGGCAGCCCTGTACATACCTGAAGTGCTTTCCCAGCGTCCTTTGCGAGGCTTTCTCCCAGAGGTGGAGAGGCTGGATCCGAACCCCAAACGAGGCACAAGGGAACGTTGCATTTTCCAGGAACTAAAGGTTACAAACTGGATGCAAGTGCCAATTAACCTCGGCCTTAGCTGCCCAGTTATCCTGCAGTAAGATGGGCAGCCAATAAATTGGATAAATAAAAACTTTTACTTCCTGGTTGAGGACAATGGACATATATGTAGAAATGCGGAGCAACCGAGGCAACCTTGGACCCTTTCCCAGGGACTCTGTGTGCCTTGCTTCAGAGGTTCATTCCATTGTTGTACCTGAACTGACAGCAACCTAGGAAGAAAAAAAAACTCTGGAAAACTTAAATTTCCAAAGTGGGCACCTGTAGAAAGGGGGCTGCCCAGTAAAGCTGCAACTTTTAGCAGCCGAACTTGCCAATTCGCCTTCATTTTGCACATTTGGGGGGTTCACACAACACGTTGAATTTTAACAGCCAGCTTGGTCCAATGGTGAAGAAACCAATAGACTGGGAGTTCTAGTTCTGCCTGAAGGATGAAAGTCGGCTGGGGTCAATCACCAGGAGATGGTGAGTTCTAGTCCCGCCTTAGGCATGAAAGCTGGCTGAGTGACTTGAGCCAATCACCAGGAGACGGGGAATTCTAGTCCCGCCTTAGGCCAGCTGGGTGACTTTGTTCCAATCCCCCCCCCTCTCTTTTAGCCCAACCCACCTCATAGGGTTGTTGTTGGGGGAAACATAGGAGGAGAAAGGAGTAATTAAATACGTTCACCACCCTGGGTTTCTTATAAAGTCGTACAGTCAGAATAAAATTCTGATAATTAGCCACCAAACACCCTTGCTGCGTTTGTAGATCTATCCCCCCCTTGGAGAAGGCAGGAGAAGTGGTTAATCTTGAACCGGACTTCTTGCATGTTTGTTTAGGTTAACAGCTGACAGATCTTTAACCTGGTTATGCAAATACAGCCATTGTAGGCTTGTTGCAGTAGGTTGGCAGGGCGCGATGGGAACAAAAAATTAATTGGCAAGCAAAAGCTTTTAGATTAAGCACTGGAGGGAAGTTTTGACGGCTCCTTTCCTGAAACGGGTTTTATACCTGGCTAATCAATGTATTAGGCCGATTGATTTGGCTCCTGCTGAGATCTTCTGGGTCAAAAGCACCGGGTGTAACCTTCCACATAACTGTTTGTTCACCTCCATCGTCCCTTCCCACCTGGTCTAATTCCTCCACCTTCTTCTGCCAAAAAATTTTGCAAAGCAAGGGGCGAGGATAATAATAAGTTGAAGGGACCTTGGAGGTCATCTAGTCCAACCCCCTACTCAGGCAGGAAACCCTATACCATTTCAGACAAATGGCTGTCCAGTTTCTTCTTAAAAACTTCCAGTGTTGGAGCACTTACTGCTTCTGGAGGCAGGTAGTTCCACTGGTTAATTGTTCTAACTGAAAGTATCCGTGAAGGCTTCAGGATTCTTCCCGCAGGCACCCCCAAACACTTCCCAGACTCCCCCCCCCCTCCCTGCCTTTCCCCTATATCCTGGTTTTCTACCGATTGTTTTCAGGAAGCATTTTCAAGCAAGGAAGCTGCTGCCTTGCAAATTAAGTTGCTAGATTTTTTTTTTTAGCAGTGTCGTTTCTTGCACAAACGCTCGTTGTGTTTCACGGGAGTGGCAAAATTAAATCCTGTGAGACTAATTTGCCTTTTCATCCTTAAGGGGTTTTCCCTGGGAGCCCTTAACTCCCCCCCCCTCCCCAAATTCCCTGGCCCTGTCTGTAAACTGGGATTTGCGTAGACTTTCAGCTTCTGCCTGAAAAGGTTTTCCTGGCTGGGGCTGCTGGGAGAGGTAGTCCAGAAACACATGGGAAGGTTCCTTCCCCCCCCCCCCTCCCCATCCCCGTTTTATCCGAGCAGCAGATACAAAGAGAAGGGCACAGGCCCATAAACAAAAGAATTGAGCAATCTTTATTTCTTATCAAGAGCCTGGAGGCCAAATACTTCCCTGCAGTTCAGGGTAAATTATCGCTTCTGGCTTTGCCCCCAAAAGCTGCGGTGACTCAACAATGCTTCCAAACTGCCAAGACCAAAAGGCTGGTCCAGCTGTGGAGGGTGGGTACGGGCACTCAGCACCATGGATCTCCCTACTCTGAAGGCTGGTTTTTCTCCCCCCCCCCCTTTGATTGATTTAAGTATTTTGCAAGAGAAAGAGAGAAACAGACTACATCAAACTCAGCTGCACAGTTCTGCCCCCTCTTGTATTAACACCCCTGCCCCTTCCTCAAAATAAAAGCTGAAGCCAGGAAGCGCAGAGAGGGGTCCTGTCAAACACCCAGCTTCCCAGGGGTGACATTTTGTGAGAAAGGGGTGAATCACCTGATCTTCCTAGTCCACTCACTCAAAATTAAGAAGTGGGGCAGTTCAGCATCTATAGGACCTAGTAGGCATTCTGGGGTGAAACGAAACAAGCCCCATGTAACTTTAGAAATGACTTTAAAAAAAAAAAGTGATTATTTTGGTCCAGAAAGAGAAGGGCGATTCTCGGTTTTGGTTCCAAAGAAGCTGCCTTAAAAAGGTCAGCCTTTGCAGCTTGGCGGCTACGATCTTTTTTTAAAGCATTTGGAACAGGGAAGACAAGATACTGGAAAGACACCATCTCGTCTTAGGAAATGGTCATGAGCGGATGGGAGAGGGGGAACCAATATCCACATTTGGGGACCCTTGGAGTGATGAAGGGCCACGAGATGTTGGAGAGGCCGGGAAAAAATAACCCCAGCCGAGACAGGAAAAGCAGGAACGGGGAGATACAACTGGGGAAAAAAAAAAAAAAAACCTAGAGGGTGTTGCTTTTTGTTTAATATTAAAAAAAACGGTGGAAAGGAGTCTGGAGGGAAAATGGAGAATCCAAAAGGATCGTTTCACGGAGAAGAAACACCGGAAAGTTCTCTGGAAAAGGAAGATATTGGAGGAGGTGAAGGAGGCCAGCCGGCAACGGTGGGCTCAAAGGATCTGGCGGGGCATCCCGTAGCCCGTCATGCCAGCCTGGGAAGCCCCTCGGTTCGTCCCCATCTGCAGTCCGATGACGTTTTGTCCCTCTTTCAGTTTGTCATCCGAGAAGGCCCGGCGATTCTCCTGGGATTTCCTAGCCACACAAAGGAAAAAAATCTGAATGAGGACGGGGAAATCCCCAGGTTGAAAAGTGATCATTGTTTAATGGTAGTTTAATGAAGAAAAACAGCCCAAGGGGCAAGGCTGACACCTCAAGGGACAGCAATACAGGTAAATCCTCATTTAGTGACCGTTTGATGTTACAACGGCATTGAAAAATGTGACATCCCAGGAATTCTGGGAGTTGAAGTCCGCAAGTCATGAAGGGGCCATAGTTCCCCCGTGCTGGCTCAGGAATTCTGGGGGTTGAAGTCCACGAGTCATAAAAGGGCCAAGGTTGCCTACTCCTGGCCTAGAGTCATCCTGAGTTGAGGCAGCCATATCAATTTTCTTAATAAAACAGAAATCATAAATACCCAGGCAGACCCTTGGTCCCCCCGCTGGGCTTTCAATCCATCGCAAAGCCTGGTTTACAAGCTCACTTACTTGGGGAACCAGTTGGGGTCTCCCGCGAAGAAGCCGTCGTCTTTGGAGACTGCCAACCCGCCCAGGTTCATCAAGGTCCTCTGGACGCAGGCCATGTTCTTCCCTGTGAGTGGAAAAAAGTCAGAAAAGGTTCTGAAATTTCCAGTTGGAAGGAAAAGGGAAAAAAATCTAAGTTTGTAGCCATCCCTTAAGTGTGGCAACATAAAAACCAAATAGTATTGTAGCTTTAAAAACATTCACTAAAATGAGATACCTTTTGAAAACAAAACTAGTGGTTTTGGACAGTGAGTATCAACAAGATTTAATGTTACAAAAATGAGTTTGGGTAGAAACTTGGCAGTAGGCAACTAACAGAAAGCTGAGCAAATGGGCTGTTTTTTAACAGGCTGTCTCGTCTCGCTAAATGTCAAAAAAAAGAGAGAAGAATTTGCAAAATAAAGAGACCAAACTATAGCTCAAAGGAGACTTTTGCATAAAGCAGTGTTTCTCAGCCTTGACTGCTTTAAGATGTGTGGACCCAGAATTCCCCAGCCAGCATATTTTAATTAATATTTCTGGACTTCAACTCCCAGAATTCCTCAGCCAGGATGCTTTAAGATGGCTGGACTTCAACTCCCAGAATTCCTCAGCCAGCATGCTTTAAGATGGGTAGACTTCCACTCCCAGAATTCCCCAGCCAGCCTGCTTTAAGGTAGCTGGACGTCAACTCCCAGAATTCCCCAGCTACTGCCATAGAATAGAACAGTGCGATTCCTAGAGAGTACAAATCATCCATCAATTTGAAATTGCTGCTCAAAATATCCGCAAAAGCTGATCCACCAATGTAAATTAAATCTCTCTTTATTTTTTGTGTGTTCGGGATAATTTTTTGAAAAAAAAAAAAAAAACCCACAAAAAGTTATTTTCCGGTTTCTGATAGCTGCAGATGAGTGGGACAGTGAGGTACCCTTTAAAAAAAAAATCTATGCTTTTAAGAGAGAGGCTCAATCTCTTAGGGGTGCCCAAACCCACTAAGAGAAATTCTTTTTTAAAGCTCTATTTAAAAAAAACAAAACAGAAATTTCAATCTTTCATTGCCCAACTTCGAAGAGGAGGGTGCAAATAGTCAGTCCACAGAGAAGAGCAACAGAGATGATTAGGGGACTGGAGGCTAAAACATACAAGGAACGGTTGCTGGAATTGGGCATGTCTAGTTTAATGAAGAGAAGGACGAGGGGGGACATGATAGCAGTCTTCCAATATCTCAGGGGCTGCCCCAAAGAAGAGGAAGTCAAGCTATTCTCCAAAGCGCCTGAAGGCAGGACAAGAAGCAACGGAGGGAAACTAATCAAGGAGAGAAGCAACCTGGAACTAAGGAGAAATTTCCTAACAGTGGGAACAATTAACCTGTGGAACAACCTGCCTCCAGAAGCTGTGAATGCTCCAACACTGGACGTTTTAAAAAGAGAATGGACAGCTATTTGTCTGAAATGGTATAGGGTTTCCTGCCTGAGCAGGGGGTTGGACTAGATGACCTCCAAGGTCCTTTCCAACTTTATTATTATTATTATTACCCAGCTAGTTGCTAGAAGCACCAATGCTTGATGGCCTCTGCTCTTTCCTTTTGAAACATACCTTCCCACAAATCTACGGTTTGGAAAATGTCCGAAGCCAGGATGCCGTACTTCTCCGCTGCGCGTAAGAACTGAGAAATCTGCTCCATTTGTTTGAAGGCCATGCTGGAAGACTGGATCTTGGCCACAGGCCCCTGGCCCTTGGGATACAGGCTGTTGATCAGCTGGCAGAGCACCTAATGAGAACAGGAAGCATCATACATTTAACTGTGGTCTTTTGGCCAGCCTCGTTTCCGTTGCCGATTGTCTTAGCTTATCGTTCAAGGGTCAAAACCAAGATGGAGTTGGTCTCCTTGAGCCCAAAAAATCCGATGCACAATACTCTGGGGTGATATGAAGCAGATTTGAGGTCTCTGCAATAAAGCTTTACAAAAAGATGGGTCAAAGGGTGATTTTGTGTCATAATGTCAAGGAACAAGTTGCCGGTCCCTATTAGAAAAGCATACATTTAAAAATTTGTATTCTTCTTTACTAAATGATTGGTCATGTGATGATTTTGTGCCTAAATGTCAGGGAGCAAGTTGCTAGTCCCTATTAGAAAAGCATGGATCCATAAAATGACCTACTAAATGATCAGCCAAATGGTGATTTTGTTTTTAAATATCAAGGAATAGGTTGCTAGCCCCTAGTAAAAAAGAATGGCTCTAAAAATCTGCTCTGCTTTATGGCCTGAACTAATGCTTCCATAGCTTTTTTTTAAAATGGATTTATTTTAAAGAGCCCGCAAGAGAGTTTTAAACTATTTATATTTGCATCAACATCTGGAGTAGATAACTAATTTAACAAGAGCTGTTAAAACTTTTTCTTTTCATGCAAATTCTTCCCTTTAGGCCTCACATTTTTCCCAACGTGGGTGGCTTCATTAATGCACTATTTTTTGATTTAATCTTCCTTTCTTTCACCATACCCACCATGGATTCGACCAAAATACCCTCTGAAATAAATCTTGACAGGCAGTTCTGTTTTTGTCCAGTACAGTGAGAACTGGCAGAGGAGAAAAATAGAGGCAACACGGCAAAATAATAATAATAATAATTCCTCACCGTGCCATCTTTCAGCCATTTCTGGAAATTGTCTTTGCCTGGTTCAGGCTCCCCGCTGTTTGGCCCAACTTGGGCCTTGATCCACTGGATGAGAATCTGTTCAAGCTCAGGATCGTACTGCCGGTCGATCTTTTGCTGAACCTCCCGACTGAGTCCATAAGCAGGGCCTCGGTTCGCCATGACGCTAAGGTGTGTGAGTAACGGATTTCCAAAAACTTAATCTGGGAGATAGGAAGACAATTTTAGGATTAAATGGCTGGATATCCCAGCATTTATTAAGGCCTAAGGCAGTGTTTTTCAATCTCAGCAACTTCAAAATGGGTGGACTTCAACTCCCAGAATTCCCCAGCCAGAATCAGCTCCCAGAATTCCCTAGCCAGCATGCTTTAAGATTAGACTCTACTCCCAGATCTACACCCATGCTGGACAAGGAATTATGAGAATTGTCAAGCTTGCACACTTCTGATATAAATCAAAGCCTGGCAATGAAAAATCAAATGTGCGAAACAAAGCTTGCCCCGGGGCAAATGACCCTTCAGTCTTCTGCTGATCACGGTCAGTGGCTGAAGAAACTTGGGTCAAGGAAAGCTGGTTCGTCTCAGAAAATATTCTGGGTCTCAACCACCCATCTGGATGTGCAATTTAGCACAGTAGCAGGAAATCCCTCGAGTGAGCATAGCTCTCTGTACGTGCTCAGCGTCATTTTTCCGACACCATCCAGACTGGCATCAGGAGCCAAAGGGATTAATGAAAATGCTTCCACCAAAGCTGATGAAAAAGGCTTTGTTCTGGATTCCAATCTGGGCAGGCCTGGGAACACTCCACCTCTCTTACTCAGCAGGGTGGGGCAAGCCCTCCGAGGAGACGTGAAACAGGATCCTCTGACTCCCTTCTAGCCGCTGATCACAAACTCTTCTTCTCTTATCCAAGTTGTGATCATCTCCTGCGTTGCAGCCACCTGCTTGCCAGAAATGTGAGTCAGTAGTACAGGTAGCCCTCGCCTTACGACAACTGATCCCCAGTTTTCCATTGCCAACCAGACAGTTGTTAAGTGTGACTCACCCAATTGTATAACCCTTTTTGTTTTTTGAAAAATAAATGTTGAGATTTGGGAAAAAGTGCAGAGAAGAGCAACAAAGAGGATTAAAGGCCTGGAAGACTGAAACATACGAAGAACATTTGCAGGATTTGGGTATGGCCAGTGTAGAGAAAAGAAGGGGGACATGATAGCAGTGTTCCAGTATTTGAGGGGCTGCCACAAAGAAGAGGGGGTCCACCTATTCCCCAAAGCACCAGAAGGCGAGAAACAATGGATGGAAACTAATCCAGGAGAGAAGCAACCTGGAACTAAGGAGAAACTTCCTAACAGAGAACAATTAACCAGTGGAACAACTTGCCTCCAGAAGTTGTGGGTGCTCCATCACTGGGGGGCTTTTAAGAAGAGACTGGACAGCCATCTGTCTGAAATGATATAGGGTTTCTTGCTTGAGCAAGGGGTTGGACTAGAAGACCTCCAAGGTCCCTTTCAACTGTCAGGAGAAATTTCCTGACAGTGAGAACAGTTAACCAGAGGAACAGCTTGCCTCCAGAAGTTGTGGGTGCTCCATCACTGGGGGGGGGGGTCTTTAAGAAGAGACTGGACAGTCACTTGTCTGAAATGGTACAGGGCCACCTGCCTGAGCAGAGAGGGCTGGACTAGAAGACCTCCAAGGTCCCTTCCAGCTCCATTCTGATTGAAGACTGAATCCCTGAAATGCTGAGATTGCTCATTTGCCCATTTTACAAACAGTTGGGGGAAAAAGAATCCCTCAGGGATCCGGCACACCCCAATTGCCTTTGCCCCCCCCCCATTCCTCCCCCCACAAGAGATGCCAAGGCTGAAAGGCAGGGCAGGTCTAATGGGTTACCTCAGCCTTACAATGGAAGGTGCTTCCCTTGGGTAAATTAAAGATATTCTTCTGTGGCCGGAGGGAATACCTGCTAATGTCTCCGCTCATCCCTTCCATCCTTTCTCAGTCCAATTCTTACATCATCGTGGCTTTGTTTTAAGTTTCCCTCTGTATCCGATTCCAAATCTGATAAACGGAGAAGCCATTTCTCAAAGGGTGGGGAAGCGGTCTAAATGCAAAAAATGCTTTGCCTAATTATCTTTTTTTTTTTTAAAAAAAGAAAATATTGTGGGGAGGGGCAGAAAATCTTTCTTAGATTGAGCGGGTAGCTGGGTGGGCCCAAAGTCTGAAACTTACCTCTCCCCCCCCTCTCTCCATGGGTGGATTTCCCATCAGGAGATACAGTCAGAAGGAGCGTCTACCTCAGGGGTCTCCAAACTTGGCCCTTTGATGACTTGTGGACTTCAACTCCCAGAATTCCTCAGCCAGGCGCGCGGAGGAATTCTGGGAGTTGAAGTCCACAAGTCATCAAAGGGCCAAGTTTGAAGACCCCCTGGTCTACCCCATTTTGCAGCCCCTGATCAAGGAGATCAGGCCGTGGGAATTTTTCCAACGTTTTTCCCGGACGTCCCGGTTACGGTGGAGGTGAAGGATAGCGGGAGGGAGGCAGAAAACAGACCTAATAGCCTTAGCCACGTAAACTGGCTGGGTGACCTTGGGCAATCACCAGGAGATGGTGAGTTCTAGTCCCACCTTAGCCATGAAAACTGGCTGGGTGACTTTGAGCCAATCACCAGGAGACGGTGAGTTCTAGTCCCGCCTTAGGTGTGAAATAAGCTGAGTGACTTTGGACCAATCACCAGGAGATGGGGGGTTCTAGTCCCGCCTTAGGCATGAAAGCCAATTGGGTGACTTTGGGCCAATCACCAGGAGATGGCGAGTTCTGGTCCCACCTTAGGCAAGAAAAAGAGCTGAGTGACTTTTGGGCCAGTCCCTCCCTCACATCCCAACCCACCTCACAGGGTTTTTTTTGTGGAGAAAACAGGAAGAGTATGTGGGTATGGGCATGTTCACCATTTTGCATTATTTGTGAAAACAATCAAGAGGGGACCGAAACAAACAAGATCAAGGTTTTGACAAACTGGCCAACTTTCAGTTGCGTGGAGTTTTAAGTCCCAGAATTGGAAAAAAGAGAGAATTTTAAAGGAATCCCTCCAAGCAAACCAAGGGGAGGGGGGAGAACAGGACGGGCCACACTAAAATTCTGCGTTCAAGGGAAACGGAAATATGTAAGGGATGGACGAGGCTAATTCCTCTGGCCAGGATGCACAGTGGATATATACACAGGTCAGTTCCCATAAACTTGCCAACTTTCCACCCCCCCCCATCCCTCTGCTCAGGGGGCCTAGGGAGACCACCCACCGGCATCCATTGTCCCTTTCCCAGACAACACTCCGCTCTTTGTTCCTCACCCAAGCCAGGGGAGGCCCCTTCTCCTCTTTCGCAGAAAATGGCCCCAGCTGCAAAGGGGCTGATTTGTCCTTTTAATATCCTGAAAAAAATCTTGTTTCTTTCTCCCCCTTCAAACTGGGAGGCGATATCTGAATTATGACAACACCGAATCGTTAGCTTGAAGGGGCCTCAGAGGTCTTCTAGTCTTCTAGAAATTGCGGGCGCTCCATCACTGGAAGTTTTCAAGAGGAGACTAGATAGTCACCTGTCTGAAATGGTATCGTTCTGCTGTTTGAGCAGGGGGCTGGACTAGAAGACCTCCAAGGTCCCTTCCAGCTCTATTCTATTCTAGTTCTTGTCCTGCCCTGTAGTGCTTTGGAGAATAAGATGACCCCCCCTCTTCTCTGTGGCAGCCCCTGGAGGGTTGGCTATGCAAGTCCTAGGAAGCCATGGTTTGCTTAATGATGGTTTACCGAGCAAGATGCAGAGGGCGAACCTGCTGTACTCAAGTCAGTGGAAGACCTAGCAAGCACATTCACACAGCAGGCAAAGTTTCCTTGCTGTTAACCCTTGTTTCTTTTTCTTTTTTATGTTGGCTTAGTGTGCTTGTGTGAACCCAGAACGTGACTAAGCTTTATGGCCCATTTCATTGGGCCGCAATGTCCAAGGTGGGAAAAGAAAACAGCAAGCCATGTTGCGTGCTGTAGGAACAAGATGGCTTTCAAGGTTCGATTCTGCAACGAGAATAAAATGCAGAGGCCTTGCGGATGCCGAACAGACTCAGGTCAACGTAAAGGAAGTTAGAAGCGAATTGACACTGAATCTTAGAAAATATCAGCTTCCGGGGGGGGGGAGAAAGGAGGAGAGGGCGGGGTTGGCTCTAGAAGAATAGAATTAGAAATCAAAGAAATAGAATAAGACCAGACTTTATGTGATTAGACACACAACAAATTTGTCTCCGGTGCAAAAACTCTCCATGTAGGTTTAGATTTAGGTTGCTAAGCTGCCCGTTTTGTCCCAATCTGAGTACCCCAGCAGAAAAATCTCTGCAACAAAGAGACTCAGTCCTAGAGCAAAAAACAACAACGACAACAACACACCGAGACACAAAAAGAGGAATAAGCCCAGAAGCAGAACTTAAAACGTGAACAGGAAACTCCGGCCACTGAGAGTTATGAGCAGAGTGGAGGCTGGGGACTCAACTCAAGCAGAAAGGGAGCAATGTGCAAAACAGGATGTTTGTGTTTGTGTGTGTGTGTGCAAGCCTCGGAGGTGAGAGATCACAACTGCTAGCTGCTGCTGTTGTTGTTGTAAAGCTAACCCACTGCCCCTGAGTCCCCCTGCTGACTGTTGGCAAACGTAAGCCAAGCCTCCACGCACAGCCGCACTATACCTGACTTTGACTGCAATCCTCCACTGGGTTAATCCACAATGGGCTCTGGCTTGGTTTTGAATTGGCCCACGGCCTGTGGTTTAAAAACCAGAGTTAGGGGCTCCAGCAGGGTGCAACCCAGACCACAGCTTTCCTGGAGAAAAGCCTCGATTTTGCATAAATCAGAAAAAAAAAGAAAAATCTCTCTCTCTCTCTCTTTTTTTTTTTTGGCCCGGCAGTGATACTAACCACATTATGGCTGTTATGCAAACTAGACTTTACCGCTCAAAGCTGGTGCTTTGGCATCGGTAAGGAGCTTGGAAATCACCTGGAACGAAGCCACCATCTTGTTTGGCTTCTGTGTGGAAACGGCCCTTCCATGTTTTGGAGAGAGAGAGAGAGAGAAAAAAAAAATCTCTCTGCAAATGGTTTATTAGGCTGCTCAAAGCCGAGGAAGGCAGGAAAGTGTCATAAAAAGTGCTTATAGATCCCTGCATTTTCGAGAACG